ATCTGCCTCAGTCGGTTGTTAAATAATAATAATATTAGTGCACTTCTTTTCCTACCCCCTTTGAGTTTCTTGCATGTCCTCCACATGCCTTATACTGAACCAGAGAACAAGTATAAAGAAAACAGCCGTGAGAGTCTGACCCACAAACCAAGCAGTCAACAAGACTTGCAAAAAAATGCTTCCTGTGTATTACAGATTAAATTCCTACAAATCATAAGAAAATCCTAGAACAAACATACATAATCAAAGATACATCATCAATGTCATCTCCGGATTATATAACAACGTTTTAAAATTGGATCTTCCTCAGGAATATTAGAGTGGTACAAAAGCTCTCTTGCTCTTAAAGTGCTTTACAACAAGTCATGAAAGATAATACAATTCATTCAAATAGGACGCTGATCTCAATATGTTCAGGCTCAGATATGCTGCTAAGCTTCTAATGGATCCCAAGCGTCTCACCAGTGTTGTTATATAATCCGGAGACGACACTGATGATGTATCTTTGATTATGTATGTTTGTTCTAGGATTTTCTTATGACTTGTAGGAATTTAGACTGTGATACGCAGGAAGCATTTTTGCAAGTCTTGTTGACTGCTTGAATTGTGGGTCAGACTCTCACAACTGTTTTCTTTATACTTGTTCTCTGATTAGGTCGTGTTGACCACATTTGTCTTCTACTGAGCCAGACCGTTAGTCCATCGAGGTCCATATTGTCTACTCAGACTGGTAGTAGATCTCCAGGGTCTCAAGCTGAGATCTTTCACTTCATCTATAACCTGATCCTTATTGGGGATGTCGGGGATTGAACTGGGGATCCTATGCATGCCAAGCAGATGCGGTATAAGTATCTGTCATAATTGGTATTCAAAAGATGGAGTGAATAGGCCTTATGTCAGTTTTAAAAAATGAACAAAATAGACTTACAGTTTGCATGCCATCTTTCTGCTTTGCCTAGTGCTCCCCAAAGTGGGTCGTAATTAAAAAAAAAGAATTTGACATTTCAAAGACATCATTATGGACATCCCACAGAAATGCTTAGGGCAGAAAATGTAAATGGGATTTGAATATGTAAAAATATGGAAGCGAGGGGGAGAATTTGGTAGATATGTAGTGGCTTCAGGTTCTGAAAAGTAGGAAGAAGAAATACAAACAATATATGAATCCTGGGATTCCTAAGTTCTCTTTTAATATTATGCTGTTCCTAAGTTCTCTTTTAATATTATGCTGTTCCTCACATAATAATAATCAGGGCTATTTTGGGGCAGGAACGCACAGGAACGGAGTTCTGGCTGGCTCCCAAGTTGACCACACCCAGCAGGAACTCATTAGCATAATAGGCCACACCCAACAGCAGGAACTCATTAGGATTGGCTACATTAGGGGTGTGTGGCCTAACATGCA